TAAAGTATGGTTAGGTCCCATACTGCCTAGCACTCCCTGCAATGCTAAAGTATGGTTAGGTCCCATACTGCCTAGCACTCCCTGCAATGCTAAAGTATGGTTTAGGTCCCATACTGCCTAGGACTCCCCTGCAATGCTAAAGTACGGTTAGGTCCCATACTGCCTAGCACTCCCTGCAATGCTAAAGTACGGTTAGGTCCCATACTGCCTAGCACTCCCTGCAATGCTAAAGTATGGTTAGGTCCCATACTGCCTAGCACTCCCTGCAATGCTAAAGTACGGTTAGGTCCCATACTGCCTAGCACTCCCTGCAATGCTAAAGTACGGTTAGGTCCCATACTGCCTAGCACTCCCTGCAATGCTAAAGTATGGTTAGGTCCCATACTGCCTAGCACTCCCTGCAATGCTAAAGTACCAAATGAAGCAAGTCTAGATTTCCCCAGTTTCATCTCCCATCTCACTGGTGCTCCTTTCAAATTTAAATGTAACTTTTTGTTTCTATCAAATATATAAGTTCCATTTAAATTGAAAAGGAGCACCAGTCTTTTAGTCTATGTATCTATTCAGAGACTAAGCGTTAGTCTAGCTGGTATGGTACCCCTGAGCTTAGTTTCAGAATGGCTAACACGCTCAGTGATACCAAGATACGAGACCTGCTGCAACCTTCTACTATCTTCATAACGTTTCCCTCTATTTTATCAGGGGCGGAAAATGTGCTGACTGGGGGAATCGAATGTTTCGGTTTTATCTGGTGTCTCTTGTCGAGGAAAAGGGTTTGTAACAAATGTGTTTGATAATGACTAAAGTGATTGGAAACTGTGATAAAACTCTCGGATATAAAAGATAACGTGAACCTACCGGCGTGCGTGTGTTCATGTGTGTTCATAGTATGAATATGAACGTTTGAGTCGCACAACAAGCGAACCAACATTAAGCTGATGATGTTTGGGCGAGGCGTGTCTCCTTGCCTGTAGCTGGTGACGCCCCTATTGACAGGATAATACATACAATAGAGATGAGAATGGACAGACTGCCAATCTCTGATACATTGACTGTATATATAACAGTATGTAGACGTATTGACATGCTCCGGTTGAGTGAGTAAGTGGTGACTTATGAAGTTAAAAGAGCGCTCTAACAGAATAGACTAGCTGTATCCCGCAATCCATCTCAAGGAGCATCTGAAAACTCATAATGTTACCAGCACAAACGGGTACATGAGTGCTACAGGGGCATATCCTCGAAAACCTGAGCACCCTGCAGCCCCGCCCCCACCCCCTGTGGATCCGCCTATGCTTTCATGCTGCGTATTGTGCCGGCTTTCTCACTACGGGTCCCGTGAAGATCCGAGGTAGGGTTGATATTCTACATCAACCCAGGAATGGCCTTCAGAAACTTGTCATAAGAGGCGACTTACTGGATAGGTGATCAGACAGGCTCGCTGGCTTGGTTGACACAAGTCATCGTATCCCCATTGCGTATGCCAATGCTCATGCTGTTAATCACATGATTGTCGGGTCCAGACTCGATTATTTACAGACAGCTATAATATTGCTGAGTGTGGCGTTAAACAACAACCAAACATAGCCCCTAACGGACCCAAAGAGTACTTTTTGCGTTGGCTCTGTTCGGACCAGTCCGCACTACCCATACATAAATAATATTATTTTTTACATAACAAACCCAATGTGAAACACTGACTTCAGTAATTGAGGGAAGTATCGTATGAACACTCTACCCAACAAAGTTGGTGTGTTTAATACAAAAGTTCAATTTCTGATACGTCAATCAATCAATCACCAGTCAGTCCTCGTAAGATCACGAGACTTCCATATGCTCTTTCTGTCAGCAATACTTGGCTCTTTCGCCTCCACCCACCAAACGTTTCCACACATTACCGACCTATATGTCGTCGCATTCCACGAATATCGGTGTTTTATTATCCTTATTTTCATTTCTTCCTGTTCTGACGTCAAGAATGACAACCAACGTGCTTTGTAGGTTGGATAGCTTCACGATGACGAACCCTGCTCGATGGCTGCTCGTTATGTGTGTTACTCATCCAGTGGTATTTACACAAACAGTATTTCATCTCCCACTCTGTGTCACGCTTACAACCGTGACCATGCAAACTGTAGAATAACGCTTAGTCTCTGAATATACATGTGTATAAGTTTGATTGTAACAAATAACCCATTTAAACTGAAAAGGAGCCCCAGAGATTCACCTGAACCTAGGGGAATCTAGACTTGCTTCATTTAGGGTTTTAATATTGCAATGAGGGCTATGCTGTAAGGAAAATACTATGGTTCAGGTACTGTGTGACAGACAATGTAAACTGCTCTGTTATCTTGAACAACGAAACCCTGTCAGTGTGGACCAAACAAAATTTTCGCATTAATGACCCATAGGCAAATTGAACTATCTCCCTTAAGCTGTATAAAGACCCTCCCAAAGATAAATATCTTGAAAATTGCATTTTTTATTAACGAGGTCCGGACTGCTGAACGTATTTGGGGCCCCCTTTAAGATATATATTATATAAATCATAAATAGGTAGATTATGTAATTTCCATATTCATAATTCAAAGTAATAGCCCTGATATTTTACTTGCCATGTAACTGTCAGCATGATTGAGTTCATCTCGTACAGTTTAAGGGCGGTGGGGTAGCCCAGTGGTTAAAGCGTTCGCTCGTCACACCGAAGACCCGGGTTCGATTCACCACATGGGTACAATGTGTGAGGCACATTTCTGGTGTCCCCCGATGTGATATTGCTGGAATATTGCTAACAGAGGCGTAAAACTAAACTCAATCACAAGTACATTTTTACAGGTGAAAATATAATACGCGAGTCTTTTCAATGGCGCAAATAGGTCCCCTTTCCACAAAGGGATCTTATCCCTACGTCGAAGTATGGGAGTTAACGATCTTTCTTGAACGGAGTCTAGGGTGCAGTAGGACAAATGGAACTTGATACTAAGGTTTTTTGTTTGTTTGTTTTGTTTGTTTTTTTGGGTTTTATAATTATTTATTCAGCATTGGTAACCGCGGTTTTACAAATAAACCATACAAGTCCACGTGGCCAGGGAGTACTGGTTCATAGACTTAATAAATACAATTCATAATTTTCTAAATACTTAGACTTTTCCTTTGAATATTTATATATTTCCAAATCATATTTCAAATCTATAAGGAAATGCTTCATAGAAACTTTTACGTCGGTATAGTGAGACTTATATGTAAAGTATTTTGAATGCATATTTAAAAAATCAAATATTGGTTAAAGTGATCTGTTGAACCGAACAAAAGTGTTTCCACAGAAAATAGTTGCTGTGAATACTTAGAAAGAAACTTTATATAATCATTAATCATTGAAGCAACATTTTTACAATTATAAAAATAATGGGAAACATCTTAATAATAAGTTGATTGTAACTCCCGTACATGAAAATGGACTTACGACAGTGTAAGCGCTAAGTTTGCTATTCACAGGAGCATCCGGATCTTTTAACAAAATAAACCCTATACGCAGTCTCCATATTCTGTGAAAATCATTGCTTTTGAGTTTGAAGTATTGTAAAACGTTCAACAGTTCCGGTGTACTAAGCAGTCACCCTGAAACGCGGACATGACATTCCGTTAATGTTGTATTTGTACCCATTGCACTTCGAGCGAGTATATTCTGATCAGAGGGACAAGGGTCGATCGGTAGAAACACGGAACATATATGTACGTGTGTACCCGGATTCAGACGTTTCAGAAATATTTTATGTGTATGTGGAGGTGTATAAATATTTCCAACTTCCGAATCAGACGCAACAACAGCAAACATCATCCTCATCATCCTCATCATTATCATCATCATCATCATTCACTTGAATAAACGATCATTCACCTCATGGTTTCCCTGTTTTGCCTGATTTTTAAAGGGGGAGACGCCAATCACTGGTCAGTGGGCAACCCATGCAAGTTTGAATTAGGTCTCCCAAACAATGCCTTAAGTTACCTATCTGGCCATACATAAGATAAGGATCTGGACTAACATATCAATGTAATACTATCTTAATTAGACAGTAACAAATATGTCAATTTCACGCCAAGCATGACTATAAATTCTTTTTTGAACAAATCAAATATCTAGAGTTTGTAAAACTACCTCGTGTATTTTTTAAACTGTTACGAGAGTGTATGAGTGAGGGACGCACTTTACTGTTGTAGTGCCGTAAAACCATGGAGTGAGTGAGTATCTGTGACGTCATCTTGAAGGTTGAGTAGCATCCTTCAAGTAGCATCAGACACATGGTAGAGCTACTGTTCATCTTGAAGTAAGCCGGCTGCCCCAACTATATCGCAAGTCGATTGAACGTAACATCCCCATGTCACAGCGATTCGGTTCTATCGTAGTATCAGTGCACTAAACTAAATAATCTGTCTCACAGTTCCCGACATACCTTATTTTCCCTACTGCCTTGCCTTCCCTTCAATGCTATAACCCTAAATGAAGCAAGTCTAGATTTCCTCAAGTGAATCTCCCATTGCACTGGGGCTCCTTTTCAATTTAAACGGGTTAATTTTTTGCTATCGAAATCATATATATTCAGAGACTAAGCGTTAGTCTGTAAACTAAACTGCATCGCTCCTAATGACTCTTCCATATCGCTTAGAACCGTGTTTTGTAAAGTGAATAAGAGCTCTCAACTGTCACGTAATGTATAATTCCTTCATGTTTGAGCTTCGCTTGTCTCGAAGTGTGATACTGCAAGTGAATGTGAAAATGATATCTATTCAATAATCATCAATGATACCCGCGAAGATACGGGTGAGAATTGGTCTTCAACAATGCTTGTCGATCGATGCTCACGCTGTTGGTCACTGAATTGTCTGGTCGAGACAGACCGACTCCATATTGCAGGGATATTGCAGTGTGCGGCGTTAAACAACAAATAAACAATATCAAATGTGCTCGTATGTTCAGTATATTTCGTTTCTCCTTTCAGACAGGACCCAGTCACCGACATGGAGGTCGCAGCGCCTTCAGCTGTCATAGTCGACATCCATGGCGTTGAGGACAACGTTGACGTCCTCAAACAAACGGTCAACCACCTGCTCGTAATGGAGAATGTGAGTAGTCCCTTATACGTGTACTTCCTTACGTCGACGGAGACGCTGGATGTCCCAATAAACGGCCTCACTGGTGCGAGCATGACAACGTCCATGGTTGTAGGTGAAGGACGCGTTGACTGCTTCTACGACGCCAAGAGAAAGCTGGATAATGTTGAAGTAGTTAACGTGTGCGTATTGTGTTGCGAACCCTGTGAGGAGTACTGGAAATCTGTGTGCGGAGCCATCTTCACGCCAGTTCACACATGGAGGATTGAAACAACCACGTGTGACGTCACGGTCCTTGTTGACGCAAAGTCGGCCTTGCCTGACCTCAGGAAGATGCTTGAGACACTGCCGTCAATAGGAGACGTAAATGTATTGAAAACCACACTCATACCAAGTGACACTTTCAACCACGGGTATTCCACACGCTGTGGGGGGATCACAAGCATTCCGAGCCTGGCGTCCTTGAACTTGCTGTACACACCTCGCAAACGTGACTCCCGTTTGACCGTGGCGGAGAATCTACGACGCTTGGCCAGAACAGCCCGGTTTGATCCGGATCAGTTCCACGTCACACGGACCAACCACGCAAACAAGGTCTGGGTCGTTGGGAAGGAACAGTCAGAGAAGTACGACGCAATCGTCACCGACAAGCCTGGTGTCACGGTCGCCGCCGCGGGAGCGGACTGCACTCCTCTCCTGTTTGTGGATCCAGTCAAACGGGTATGCGGTGCAGCACATGCTGGGTATTTGGGTACACTGAAACGGGTGGTCGTTGAGACCGTGAACGCTCTTGTAGAGGAGTTCGGGAGTAATGTCAAGGATATTTTGGTTACCATGGGACCGACGCTGTGTTCGAACTGCTTCTCTTTTGACAGAACAGATCCTGCAGTTGAAGAGTTCCTGGCAATTGACCAAACCACTGTGGATTTCAGGGTTAATGGTGAAGGTACGCGGGTACACGCAGGCCTCGTGACGACCAACACACTCCTTCTGGAAAGAATGGGGATCAAACCAAACAACATCGACACGAGCCGCGCCACCTGCACAGCCTGCGACCCGGACAGGTTCTTTTCTTTCCAGAGAGACAGATTCCCGTTTGGGAACCAGGTTGGCTTTGTGAGCATCAGATAAAATGATTAGCATCAGTTGGTCCTTTGCAAGAGGATCTGATATTCCGTTTGGTTTGTTGGTCTCTGGTGGGAGATGTAAAATTCCGTTTGGTCTACGGGTCTCTGTAGGGATACGATACATTATGTCTGCCGGTGTACATTTGTATTTGCTCAGGGTTGTTACCGGAAACTGTGTTGTTAACATTTATGTAGATATATATAGGAAGTCACGTTGACATGTTTCTCTACACGGACACATGATGTAGCATTTGGTTATTGGGGCTACGATATATTCAGTCAACACAGAATACATTTTCGTTCACAGACCCCACCCGCGGGGCAGAGGTTCGGTACCCTAAGTGGGGTCTTCTGTACAGATGACACTGCCGATCTCAGACCCAGTGAGCCAGTGTTAAACCTTCTGTCTCTATAGGGATCCATGTCCTTGCATAACATATTCTGATACAATGGTCTGTCGCCATTTGCAGGAACATGTGGCATTGCATTCAATGGTTAGGTCCCTGCAGAGATCCACGACCTAACATTCGGCCCACGCTTTGTTGTCTACCGTTGGTGGTTGTGATTATTATGATTACTCTCAGTGCTTTGATAATTTATGTTAGAGCTTCTACCTAACTTCATTTATGTTCAGATTTTTTTATTAACTCTGGGAGTCTAACTTAGTTGATTACTCTCTCCTCGGCTCATTTCACTTGTCGTTAAGCTTGACTGGGCTTGTTACTCTGAATCCGCTATCAAATTCATGTATTGTATCTATAGTTATCCCCGCTCACGATATGCGCGAAGTAGCTCGAGATTGTGTAAGGCGATAATTGGCATTCAAATTACACTTCTAAATCCGGCCGACGTTATTACTCAGGTGAACCAATTACATATTTTTAACTGTATGACCTCATTAAATTACAGATGCACCCTAAAACATAAATCAATACGTCGTGTGCTTTATGGTTATATCACGGGGTCTATGCAATAAGACGTCAAGTACACTATGGTTATATCACGGGGTCTATGGAATAACGTGGGTTATATCACGGGGTCTATGGAATAAGACGTCGAGTACACTATGATATTATCATAGGGTCTCTGGAATTAATACGTCGAGTACACTATGATATTATCATAGGGTCTCTGGAATTAATACGTCGAGTACACTATGGTTATATCACGGGGTCTATGGAATAAGACGTCGAGTACACTATGGTATTATCATCGGGTCTCTGGAATAATACGTCGAGTACACTATGATATTATCATAGGGTCTCTGGAATTAATACGTCGAGTACACTATGGTATTATATCACGGGGTCCTGGAATTAATACGTCGAGTACACTATGGTTATATCACGGTTATGGAATCACGGGGTCTATGGACACTAAGACGTCGGAGTAGTACACTATGGTTATATCACGGGGTCTATGGAATTAATACGTCGAGTACACTATGGTATTATCACGGGGTCTCTGGAATAATACGTCGAGTACACTATGGTTATATCACGGGGTCTATGGAATAAGACGTCGAGTACACTATGGTTATATCACGGGGTCTCTGGAATTAATACGTCGAGTACACTATGGTTATATCACGGGGTCTATGGAATAAAACGTCGAGTACACTATGGTTATATCACGGGGTCTATGGAATAAAACGTCGAGTACTCTATGGTTATATCACGGGGTCTATGGAATAATACGTCGAGTACTCTATGGTTATATCACGGGGTCTATGGAATTAAGACCTCGAGTACACTATGGTTATATCACGGGGTCTATGGAATAAGACGTCGAATACACTATGGTTATATCACGGGGTCTATGGAACAAGACGTCGAGTACACTATGGTTATATCACGGGGTCTATGGAATAAGACGTCGAGTACACTATGGTTATATCACGGGGTCTATGGAACAAGACGTCGAGTACACTATGGTTAAATCACGGGGTCTATGGAATAATACGTCGAGTACTGTATGGTTATATCACGGGGTCTATGGAACAAGACGTCGAGTACACTATGGTTATATAACGGGGTCTATAGAATAATACGTCGAGTACACTATGGTTATATCCCGGGGTCTATGGAACAAGACGTCGAGTACACTATGGTTATATCAGAGTTTTTTTGGAATTAATACGTCGAGTACACTATGGTTATATCACGGGGTCTATGGAACAAGACGTCGAGTACACTATGGTTATATCACGGGGTCTATGGAATTAATACGTCGAGTACACTATGGTTATATCACGGGGTCTATGGGATTAATGCGTCGAGTACTCTATGGTTATATCACGGGGTCTATGGGATTAATGCGTCGAGTACTCTATGGTTATATCACGGGGTCTATGGAATAAGACGTCGAGTACACTATGGTTATATCACGGGGTCTTTGGAATAAGACGTCGAGTACACTATGGTTATATCACGGGGTCTATGGGATTAATGCGTCGAGTACACTATGGTTATATCACGGGGTCTATGGAACAAGACATCGAGTAAACTATGGTTATATCACGGGGTCTATGGGATTAATGCGTCGAGTACACTATGGTTATATCACGGGGTCTATGGAACAAGACGTCGAGTTCTCTATGGTTATATCACGGGGTCTATAGAATAATACGTCGAGTACACTATGGTTATATCACGGGGTCTATGGAATAAGACGTCGAGTACACTATGGTTATATCACGGGGTCTATGGAATAAGACGTCGAGTACACTATGGTTATATCACGGGGGTATGGAATAATACGTCGAGTACACTATGGTTATATCACGGGGGTTTCTGGAATTAATACGCCGAGTACACTATGGTTATATCACATAGAGTCTCTGGAATTAATACGCCGAGTGCTCTATGGTTATATCACGGGGGTTTCTGGAATTAATACACCGAGTGCTCTATGGTTATATCACGGGGGTTTCTGGAATTAATACGTCGAGTGCTCTATGGTTATATCACATACAGTCTCTGGAATTAATACGTCAAGTGTAATGAGCGTGAGGGTTGTGATTCAACACGACAGCAGCATTCATCAGTAGGTGGCTGGTGACATATAGTAGTCAGATTTTAATGACACATAATCAGTGATTTGTACATATAATACATGTAATAATAGTTATAGAATGATATGTCGGTACCTGTGTGTCTGTATAGTTATAGAGGTGTTTACTGTTACAGATATGTATCTTTCTTACGAGGGATTCATGTGCTCTTGAATATGTATATTCAAGGTCTTGCTTGGTCTAAAATAACCCAATTCCACGGTTTCTTCTTGCCTTAATTAACGTTTGCGTGTGATCTCTATACAGAACCGGTCGTAACTGAGGACTGTGTATATAGGAAGGTTACTATATGAGAACCTAAAAACGTTGTCTATGCGACAGACCTTTAACAAATAGTTTTCTTGTAAATGCTGAATCTAAATGTAAACTCAAGTTAATAATAGTCTGGAGTGTTAATTAGGGCTGCACAATATAACCGGTTTACCGGTATTTACCTGTTCAGACATGAAAGCGATACGTATTGCGATACGCTGATCGAAAACCGGTATTTTGACTTGCATTCGGAAAACTTCGTTTTTAACACTCGGAAATCTTCGGATATTTCCTTTTTTCATTTGTGCCAAATATTATTCACATTTTTATTTTTAATCATGAATAAAAGTTGTTATTAAAGCTTAATCAAGCATAGTGATTTTGCTGTGTATTTGCTCTATAAATCAAGCATTACCTCGATAATAAGTAGTTTTTACTTTACGCAATATATTGCAATACATATCGCAATACATGCTTTTGCATCGCAATATATCGCAATATGAAAATTATCTGCAATACCCACCCCTAGTGTTAATAGAGGAAAGGCGGTAGTACTGCATACTTCTTGGCAGTAATACAGAGATACGGAGGTCACGTTGGCAGTTAAGATATACATGTAAAGTCTTCAGTCATTTACCTGATAATCTTTGACCCCAAAATGTTGCGAGCGCTTCAATCTCTGCTATGTTGAAACACTGACTTGTGTTGAACGATGACGACTACAACATGAATCGTGTCAGGTTTACCTTTATAACCGATATAACTATGTTACTGACCCTACGGTTAAATTCTATGGTCTATGTCACCTTTTACCAGTAGAACTTCCAGACGTAAAGTTCTGAGCGCGTCAACGTCTGTCATGCTGTGTTACTGTTTTAGTTGAGTGAGTGAGTATGATTTTGCGCCGCTTTTAGCAATATTTAGCAACATCACGGCGGGGGACACCAGAAATGGGCTGCACACATTGTACCCATGTAGGAACTCGAACCCGGGCCTCCGGGTGACGAGCGAACGCTTTAACCACCAGACTACCACCGCCCCTGTTTTAGGTTGAACGCTGAATGGCTCAACATGAGACTTATTCGGTTCATTTGTTTGGTGGTAACTGCTAAACAAATGCAAACCATGACCACATAAATATATGTTTATTTATCTGGTTAATTGGACATGTAAGCAACAACATAACGTGTACATAGAAATATCAGGTTATATAGTAGTGTCTAGCAGCACAATGGAAGCTAACCACCATGGGGTAATTCTGTTCTAACCTGGGTCCCGATCAACAAAACCTTCGTAGCGCTACGACATTCGTAAGCCTATGATAAACTATAAAGTTATGACAGGTCGTATCGTTACGAATGCTTTGTGGATCTGGCCCCAAGAGACGAGTTCATCAATGCCCATCTCATGGGCCTAGTGGCTGGGTACAGTGGTAGTAGACGCCCAACGGCTTGTTTCTTTTACGAACATTTTTTCACTTTAGGGTAAAGTTACATAAATATTCATGGTTTGCGTGATGAAGAGCGCACATTTTATAGGGCCACGGTCCGAATATAGGGGACAGTGACTTCATACATGTTCGAATTGTTCGTTGAAAAAGACAATTCGTGATCATGGCGGAAATTACTTATTTGGTCACGTATGACAAACATTTTCTGGAATTAAATCACGACATCACTTTTATTTCAGGAATACTGAAATGTTTCATTATGGTGAACTTTACTTACTGAAATAGTATATTAATATATAATGCTTAATAACTAATGTTATGCATATAAAGTGGTCTGCATTAAATATGCAACACCGCCGAATGATATATTTTACAATATTTACTGAATTACACCAATGCCTACAAATACTGCTTTTATCGTCATGAATAACGCTATATAACACTGATGTATTTTAGCTGTATGTGCAGGGACATATGTATATATACAGTCCTAAGCTAGATATATTGTATACATTCATATATTCATACAATAGCCATACAGTTGTCATTGTGTTTGGGCGTTTCTCGCTTCTAACACAGTTGTTACATAATAGAACAGTTGAAGTGATTCTCAGGTTACTGACAATAAAGAGCGATAACACCTACTGTATGTAATATAGTACTTCCTCAGTGTGCCTGGCCTGCGTAAGAGTAGTGCAGCTAAATGTATGTGTATCAAACAACCAAACAAGTTGGTTGTAAAATTATAGTTTGATTTCTATAATTAGGTATGCCATCCCCACTGTTAAGCAAAGGAAGGTGAAAAACGTTTGGTCATCCGAGATGATCTCATAAGCCTTAATAGATAGGAAACCTGAGAATATATAATTAATGGTATTCTATCTGCTTATGTGATTCAGTATTTGCCAATAGATATATCAATGTTTTTTCAGTCTTCCAAAACATTTATTTAAATTTGTTAAAGTAACAAATATATCGGCTGAGCAAATATTGTTGTTGTCTTAACACTCATAGTTTGTACCACACCCTCAAATATTCGGTGGATGTATTCATTTCGTACTAATAAATACCACTTTCGTCACCATTCTTATTTATCCCAATTCAAATAGCACGACGCTAAATATAGCTGTCCAATGACATTACTCAGACGAGCGAGAGACTTTTTGTGTCAAGTTATATATAGCAGAGAGTAAGTTGTCACGGAACGAAGCTATGATGTATATGTTTTTCTATATCTTTGTACCTACTATGTTTATATTTGTTAGAATAGAACATTGCCTCTGTTTCTTTATGGAATGCAATGCAATAAATATCGCATCTTATCTTATCTGTGGTATAATCTTGAAAACTAATCGAGATTGACATTGCGGATGTTAATGTATATTCTTCATGTTTTGTGAGGACACGGAGAGACTGGTACAGCTGTAAGACTGCTGATTGTGATGACGACATTCAACTCTTTACTCACGTTCCAACACGGTGCCTTGAGCTGTTTTTGACAGGAACGGCCGCGCCGTGTTGCATATATTACAACAGTGTCTCTGTTCAGTTTGTATTCAGTGTTTAGGCTATGGTAATAAATATAGTTTTACCTTATAAATGCCGTTTGTGTTGCTTTATATATCATTTACCTATATATCAATAAATTGCATGATAGATATCCTCATAACGACGACGGTAACAACTGACGTGTTGTAAATGGCGCTATCGCCATGGAGACCGTGATTAATGTTTGACGTTGTAGTCACTACATGGGAAACGTTAACGAATGAACTTAGATTTTCTGCTACGTTTGGCAAAATCTAAACAAGGGAACCGGCCAAGAAGTTCACTTCAGTTGGTATATCGATAATCTGACACCTTTCTATAATGTCTAAATAAATCCACAGATCTACAGAAATGAGCAAGAAAACAGTACTTGTATCTCAAGCACTGAATCATGTGATCGTATATCAAATGCTGAATCATGTACTCGTATATCAAACATTTAATTCTACACTAGTATATCAAAGATTGAATTGTGTACTACTATACAAGTACACAGGCGGCTCGGGGGCAGAGGGTGTGCAGGGGTGCACACCACACCCACACCCCTTTTGTCCTGAAAGTTGTTTAAAAGACCATTGAAACTCTCGTGAAATCGAACTGTGCAACACCACACCCCACACCCACCCCACACACACACCTTTCTGAACTGTGCAACTCCCCTTATCTCAAAAAGCTGTATCCGCCCCTATCTAGCGCTGACTCGTAATAGCAAATCCAGCACCGAATCATGTACCAGCATTGAATCTTGCATTAGCATAATAGCAGTGAATCTTGTGCTTGCAGATGAAACATTGAATCATGTACTAGTAAATCAAACACAGAATCATGTACCAGCATTGAATCTTGTATTAGCATATATAGCAGTGAATCTTGTGCTTGTAGATCAAACATTGAATTATGTACTAGTAAATCAAGCACCGAATCATGTACCAGCATTGAATCTTGCATTAGCATATATAGCAGTGAATCTTGTGCTTGTAGATCAAACATTGAATTATGTACTAGTAAATCAAGCACCCACTGAATCATGCATACCACCCGTACGAGCCTAATAAAAAGACGATCGGGTGATCAGAGTGCATGACGTCATGACATGGATGATTCTGTGACCGACCAATGACAAGGATGATAACACAGTCTCACATTGACACAAGCACTCGTGGTATACTAGTAATATGTCTGACTGTAGCGTTGGTCAATATCCATACATTTGCCATTTCTACTGTCAAGACTTGAGACATGATCAGCTCCGTATGTGCCATAACGGTATTTGTACCGAATGCATGTATCAAGTGGTTGCCGACCACAAAGTACCAAAATAGCATCACTTTATGGGACTTCCGAGTGATGATGCCATTGCTTAAACATATGACACGGTGTAAGGTTACAATAACAGTAAATGTGCTGACTGGTAAAATACTGAAATGGTTATAAATGACTGGAATATATTAAAAAATATAGGTAGATGGCACACACTGTAGGTTTGGGTGAATATACGGATGTTAAAGGTTCGGTCCTGGCAGAGTTCAAGGTTAGCATATGTGTGAGAAAGATGACAGGGACAGGGATGGTCGAACTGGCAGCGACACAGCTGGGTGGAGGGTTAGGAGGGGTGTAAGTGTATAGGATGGATAATGTACACACCGGCGGCACCGTCGCTCACCTCATTATTGTTGTCTACAACGTCCACAACGGTAATCCTGTGTCGTGAGGAAGCGTTTGGATGTAGACGCGCACGCGCTCCTTGTCCCTGCGTTCTGTGGCAGAGGGATGCTGACTTGTGGAGAGGATGAAGGCGACTGATAACGTCTCAGTTGCTTACATCCCCGCTCAGTGACTGGTCACCCCCCGCTACACGGGGTCGCGATTACCACTCACGGGGAGGCGGGCGGTCATGGTTGGGGTGATAGCAGATACAGGCAGCTTGATTACATGATACGATGCATTAAGGGATGAAAGAGACGAAGGGTTGGGATGTACATAGTACCGGGGGGAGGGGGAGGGGACGTGTGGCTAATGGGTGTGCGTCCCAGGGTTTAATATCTTCCTGGTAAGGAGTAAACTAAGGCTGAGTCCCTGAATATATATAATTTTGATTGTAAGAAATAAACTCATTTAAACTGAAAAGGAGCCGCGGGGAGACCAGAGATCTAGACTTGCTTCATTAACGCTTTAGCATTGCAGGTTGTCTCTTGTACAGACCCTGAAGCAAATATATCCAAGAAAGCCCACGCAAGTCTAGAAGATGTGGCAAGTCTAGATTTCCACAGCTTCAGAGAAGTATCAGGGCTCCTTTTTATTATATATATATTTTTTTACTATGAACTTGTTTTTCAGTAAAATATGTTCATTTCAGAGACTAGTTGTTAGTCTACATTGCAGGGAGGGCTAGGCTGTAGGGAAAATAATATGATTCAGGGACTGTGGGACAGACTAGGTAAGGAGGTACAGTTGGAGGACAAGAGTGGCAGGGTGAGGGTGGCCCAAGTGAGGAGCTAGGATTGGGAGACAGGTGTCATGGGGGTAGGTGTATAGCATGGTGATGGGCCCGGGATTAGGTAGGGAAACTTTTGCCCCACTGGACGAGGTTTACCAAGTGACGCCAGGGTTGGGTATCTGAAAGGGTGGGGTAGGGGGACAGGCGTCACATCGAGTGAGGGCATCAGTTTTAGGGATAGGCATCACAGGGTTTGGTTATACGCTCTGATGGGGCAGGGTGGGGATACACTGACCTCCCAGACGCCAAGGTTGACCAAGTGAGAGAGTAAGGTAGAGGAACAGGCATCACGAGGTCTTAGGGGACAAGTATAGACAGTGAGGGAGGGAGGGGAGGGAGGGGGGCAGATACTCTGATTGGTAGTTTAGCTCGAAAGTCGTGGGAAAAAAACGTGTTTGTGTAAGTGTATGTATTTCTTTTCCAACAGTCAGTAATCTCCCCATAAAACGTAAAGTTTTAACTGATACAACAACAGCATAACGGTACCAGGGCCTAGATTTTCGAATCTCTCTTAGCGCTAAGATAGTCGTAAATGCCATACATTAACATTAACTTACAACTATCTTAGCGCTAAGATAGTCGTAAATGTCATACATTAACATTAACTGACGACTATCTTAGCCCTAAGAGAGCTTCGAAAATCTAGGGCCAGGAGTTATCGGATCGTTCATTACACAGAGGGAGGGTGGCCTGGCTGCTCGTGTTTTGGCTATTGTCTCTGGCGATAGCCAGTACCGGTATCCACCTGGCGCCACGGGAGAACTCCACCAACATATGTAAGATAGCAGGTGCCCTTAGATAGTATTACCCCCACTTACCCACCCTCACCGACAAACGTGGTTACCTCTGAAAACTGATCCATTTACCCACTCCAGCGAAATGCCCATTACTTTAACCCTTAAGGATATGATAAGGGGCCTCATAGTATTAATTAAAGTTATGCTGAAGTTTTTTAATGTCACGACTGATATGGGTTAATATATTTTTGAAAATTTTTTCCCTCCTTCCTCCTCTGAATTATCATTGACGCCCATATTAAGCTGACATCAAACACCGATATCTTCTATTCAGTATCGTGTATCTAAAGCAGATTTTTATGGAAATGTAATTTTTATCTCAGCTGAAGCAGGAAAGGCTATATTGTTGATCAATATGTATCCAACCTAAATGATCAACTCGTACAGACATATCGCATTCCGTTAGCCTGTCTTTATAAAGGAACACATGCCGTAGGGCATGCTTGTATATAGAACAAGGATGTACATCACCACATGAAGGCATCCGTCATGTTTTCCCGGGCTTGTTTACTCTGGCTCCTCCACATTTGTTTATCTGTTTATTTACAAGCGGTGTTACAAAGAAGAGTACCGGAGAGTTATGTTAGAGGAATGGTAGTCTGTCACACAGTCCCCGAACCACGTTACTTCCCCTTCCTACAAACCCTTTCTGCAATGCTATATAAAGCTCTAAATGAAACAATCTAGATTCCCCGCAGGTTCTGATTCTGAATCACCCATTCCTTTTCAATATAAGTGGAATTATGTGCTGGTTTAAACAAATATGCTTGACGCTTCTAGTGAATGAGTATGTGAATTGGTTTTAATGCCGTTTGGAGCAGTATTACAGACATATCATTGCGTGTCAGTTTGACGAGGGAGGAAATCCCGAAGTAACGCTGGTCTTAGATGTTTACAACTTTGTTGAAACCAACATGCACGGATGTTTTAACTTCAAAGCCTAACATTGAAGGAATTGAATGGGTTTCAGTCCCTCAAGTTTGCCCATGTACTAAAGGTCACAGACCTTAGCCATTTTAATCACATGTCAATTTGCTTAACTGATTCAAGGTTGTGGATATACTACTAGGATAACACGTAATGTCCAGAAGAAAATAATCACTGTTACGCCAGTCTTTCTGTATGACACTCAAAACGTTTCACTGAACCCTCGCATGTCTGAATGTGATCTTCCTATATCTATCCGTCTGTCTGTCTGCCTACATTTTAACATTGCAAGTCCCCGGTCGGGGAGGATGGGGCTTTATTCCAGTAGGTTTCAAATAACTCTTCTGACATCCTGCGTACTCTGATGTAATTATTTACAGTCGTATATCTGGCAGTTTATGTGTAAAACCAGTCAACGCGTAAAATCAGGAAGTTGTAAAGTAACTGGATTTTTCACCAAAGCAATTTACACAATGCTCAGATATTTCAGTAATTTCGGAATGACTCAAAACATATCCATTTATTCTATTATGATAACCTTGTGATGTATAACTTCATCGCCCAGTAAAAATGGTAGGGTTAAAAGATACGAAAAGCCATGTTATTATACATACACAAAGAACTTATTTAAGCACCCCCTGAAATATCTCACGATTGAATTAGCCCCGATCTTAACCCTTTGGGGCATATCTGGGACATGATTGGTCGTCGTGTGCAACAAAGGGATCCTCCTGTACAGAATTGGTCCAATTGGAAGCTGCTTTAGGAATGGGTAGACTGCCCCTTCAGAGGATCAGGACGCTGACAGGGGTATGAGGGGGAGTGTGCTGGCTGTCCTACAGTCACATGGAGGTTACACTCAGTATTGACCTTGAATCTTGTAAGACACGGAAAATGACGTTTTGAATGATCACATTGACCAATAAATTCCATTTATTCAACATTCCAGGGCCATGCTTGTACAGACATGGTTTTGTATCAGTGTTTGTTTGTTTTTAAATCAACCAATCATTTTGTCGTTTTTTATGAGTCAAAAGGATCATACGGGTCAGAACATCTTCTATCGCAGTCATCGTGGTTGAAAACCTATCATTGCAAAAATACAGGGGTGCTTAATTAAATTCTTTGTGTATATATTTGTTGTTTTGGGGGGTCTTTTTAACTTAGCATGATTAGTCGACTGAAGTATTGAGTCATTTCATACACTGCCTTCTTAAATAACATTTTACAAATTTACGTTAACATGCATACACGTACACGTACAACTTAGGGAGAGTGGATAAACCGTCTTCTCGGAGGGCAGGAGATCGGTGGTTCGAGCCTGGTCTGCGTTCTACCGAAAGACATAAAAACGGTACTTGTTGTTACTCTGCCTGGCCCGCGACATTGTGGGGATTAAACAAGGAGAGAGAAGTCAGGACTAGTACAAGCCGACACACACATGAGCATGCACGTCATTATATAAGTGCAATAATCGTAAACACGATCTTAAACTCCATTTAACAACAGTCCGCGAGGCAATCTATACAGTCAAGCGGGACATACTTGTATATCCGTACCTATGGAGAAGATGGAGGTGTTCAAGTCTCTGGCTTTACCACATGGAAGAAACAAAACACACGGCTCTCTCAAACCAAGTATAACAACCAGGGATAATGTTATATTCGAGACAAAGATCACTGAATCCTGCCACGCCCAAGGGACACAACTGCCAAGGATCACTACGGGAAGGAATACAAAAGTCACTTTGTATCCACCCTGCACAAATCGTGATAACAAAAGGTTTTCCTATCAATGACATTATCAACCGTCATATTTATTGGCGCATACAGAACACATAAACAAATCATGTTGTCCGACCTGGGGTTGATTGTTTAGACGCCGAGGACTTGTTTACATATTGCCGTTGTGTGATCTCATTATCTGATAACAGTGGGCGGACTGTCTAATTATAGAACACAGTGCCACAGTTCTTTATTACCGAGACTCTGTACTATAGCACTGTGTTGACTGCGGCCTAATGTAAGACAATATGTGCCGGCATTGGCCATATGTACGTTACATATAGTCCTACATGTACTTCTCCGTTATCGACAACAACGTGGAATACCGCGCGTCTGAAATCGCATGTGTCAGCGTAACAGGTTTCCAACATTAAGGTCGTGTTGTCTTGAACGAATTCGGTGAGTAAGCGTGTTAGTGAGTATAATGGCTATATGGGTTTGCGCCGCTTCTATTCCTGCAGTACCACGTCGATGGACCCCAGTAATTCACCCATTGTGTCCATGCGGGGAATCGAACCCGGGCACAGTTCTACAAAAGCTTTAAACATCTGGCCATCGTCCCTAAACGATATAACATGATAAAGCGGTTCGTTTGTTTGTCGGTCTCGTCTAACGCCGCACTCAGCAATATTCCGGCTTAGTTGATCAGTTAGTCTCCTCTTACGACAAGCATGGTTTGGAAGACCAATTCTAATTTTGATCTTCATAATGGCGCTTGAGTTGAAATAGGCGAAAGCGTTCAAAAGTTGATCATTCATATCGTCACATGCTTTTAAGAGCATCGTGTTACCAGGTCCATTCACTTGGTAAAATTCGTACAATAAATAAACATGAGATACCTAGCAAATTAATCTTAAGTGGCGAACAAAAAAGGAGTTGTGTCCCTTAGCCGTAACAGGACCCTCTCATTCTGGGTTTAAAATGTTCGAAGCGATGTAACTTACTAACTCGTTCTTTCGGAGCGGCGGGGTAGTGGTTAACGTGTTCGCTCGTCACGCTGGAGACCCGGGTTCGATTCCCCACTCACTCACTCACTCTTTCAAACCGTTTATGGTTTTCTTAACACAACGAGATAGATATCGTGAGATATCCGTGAACAATAAAAGACTTTCTGAGAAAGAAAAATAGCACAAACAACCAAACTCCAAACGAGGCTGAATTACCGAAAACATATGTCCCCCAAGTTCTACATCAAATTGCTCTCATTACAGCTCACAAAAACGTACGCATAACACATGGTAATACCATCATCCACTGCATGTATAGGCACAGATCACCATTCACTAGAAACACATGGCATCATGACACGTGATACTGCTCAGAAGCGGAGTACCAAGACACGTAACCATGACAACAGATTATGATTAATGATATTCTGGTTAATCAAGATGTCGGAATTTACAACATGAGCAAATTTACGTCACAATGTTATATCTCAACATATAACAGGGGATTAAGATGCTAACATAATCAGATATACATATAATGGATGAAGACGTCATTCAATACAAAAACCACAAGTGTACATCTAATGCAGCGTAACTAAATGACCTATCGTCATAACCCGTTTAGTTCCCGTGATTTGGGTAATATATAATTCCTCGCAATATAGAGTATATTGATATATTAATTTAACCATACACATACTTTATTACGAATCGGTGATAATATTTAACGTTAAAAGGGGTCAGTTATAAGGATTTATCAGCCTACCTGATAGGCGGCATTGTGAAAGCCTTGATGGTGCTCCGGCAACCAGTGGGCTACATGAGAATGTATAGCGTGTCTATAATATACACCGCCCGCTCCAATCTGTGGAGATATGGGCCAGGGATGAACGCAAGGATATCACACTGACGGTAATAGTGGTGAAAAACATGTTCTCATATCACACCAAACTAGCACCCCCTGTCTGACTGCATTGCTAGCAGGACAATGTGAATGTCTTTCACTCTTTCCAAATGTTACTGGATGGGTTCATTTGATGATAGGGGTGGAAGGAATGGATTTATTGGAGATTTGGTGATCGTCTGCTTCTGACGTCTGCCTGGATCTGACGTCAATGTGGGCAAGATAGGGAAATATCAATGGGTCAGTAGCGTGTGTGGGACGGAGATGCGCTTCTTTTAATATCAGACTACTCGCTTCCATTTATTTCTTTGAGTGTAATATGGGACTGCTTAGATATGGAATAAAACGGATGGGTGTACGCTGTATTTGCTAGAAGCCATAAAATGGCGGTAAGCTTGACGTTAGTGCAAAATGAAGGTGAAAAGTAAATGGTTTAGAAAACAAACAGCATGAAATAATGCTTTCTTGTCATCCTGTGTGTGAGAGAGATTGGTTTAAGGCTGTTAAGTTGCATCCCCACGACAGAGTGTAATGTCGGAGGACAGATCGAGGTGCAGCAGGTCTCGGACGTTGCAATACACAACCTCAGACACTGCTGATCTAGTCTTGATTCGCACCAGCGACCAATGTGTCTGGCACAGATGAGGGTGTTCGTGATGGTGTTGTAGAGTAGGTTATTCATCACTTTCTTGATCATAGTATTAGTACATACACAGAAACGTCGCAGTCACTGCAATAAAGAAGTTGCCTGTCTATAGAACTTGGTTTTCCTTCATCTTTACAACTACTATACATCTTACTACTATACTATCTAACTCATATCAATTTAAGAATATACCGTCAAGCTTTATCAAGATTTAGATGCGGATGCCACAATTTAAGGATTGAACTTGGACGAAGAATCGGAATAGATGTAGAAAGCAGATTATGTACACACTGCAGCCGCTACGGAATACATGTAGTTGAAAATGAATTTCATTTCTTACTTGTATGCAAAGCTTTTTCAAATTTACGAAAATCATATATTCACCCTGCATACCATGAACATCCCTCTGTTGCAGCATTTGTCAATCTTATCAATTCCACAGGTCCTCAAACATTGCTAAATCTAAGTAAGTATGTATTCTTAGCATTTAAACTTTACCCATCGGTACACCAATAATGTTATTATCATGAATTGTGTATTACTGTAGTACCTTGTGAAATTTATTCATCGTTTATATATTGATGTATAACAAATATGTGGAAATGCCGTTAATGTACGTCCTATGGGCCTGTGGCCTTTGATTTGAATGAATAAATATTACAATTACAACTACTAAAATTCCTCTCAAAGAAGTAGGTTATTCTTCGTATTACATGCCGTTCGCGTTGTTAGGAAAATATGTATTAAGTATTTATAAACAAAGACATATTGGTTATAAGGGACCGTTCATAACTTATGGCTTATGTGTGTTTTTGTACACATGTACTAGGGGTGGTCAGCAAATTTTTACACAAAAATATTTTAAAATTATGATTAAAAATTTTGAAAGGGGGAGGGTGGGGTCATTGATTTTGTACATCTCATGCAGGGGGGTCACTTAGTTTGTACATTAAATTTAGGGTTGGTCTTTCACATTGTACATGCTCCTCTATAAAAATGTACATAAAAACCATCACCACATCACATTAATATTGTGTAATTTATATTACATGATACATTTTCAAAAACATTGTCAAAAACATTTGGCAGGTGTGGCCAAGGGGTTGAGTTTCGCAGCAGGGCTACCAGGATCTGCTTGTCTTGAGTTCGAATCCCCAATTCCGCTAAGAATTATTTGTTGGGTTACAATAAGGTTGTCCTGCAGCGCTACCAAATATTTCGCTTGACATGAAATCTAGAGCGATACGTTACTCTTGCATATACGGAGTGGTGGAAGTGTTACAAAACGACTGACTAAGGACACCTCCAACAAACAAAATTCACGGACACCTTACCTCTTAATATCATTTTCACTTTTCGTTCTTACAACCCAAGGTACAGGTTAATGACATTTCTGTCAGTAAAAGGATTACGTTCACCTGGCTTTTGACACATCTCTACTCGTATTACACAGGCCATTGCCTGAACACCTGGAACAACATGCCTTTCACAGGATCAGCATTCTCGTGCAGCGGCATCTTCTCTCTCACCGTAGTTGATCACATTCTACCTTTCATAAGGCCTGGGTAATCTAGGAGGTGCGCTGTATATTATGTACATGTTTAACCTATGTGTATGTTCAGACGACAGAATAACATGACAGTACATATGCTACTCGATACATTATGTCCATGTTCTGAAATGTAGTTTTTGTCCATATTGTATGAAGGCCTCTAAACAAACAAAGCCAAACTATTGATATAGCCAAACTGGACTGTAGCTCACCTGTTTTTTTCTGGAATGTGTAGTAAAGAGAGTAACTGAACAAGAATATGCAAAAAAACAACGTATTAGACATTTTCGCTCTCCATTCAATAACAATACATTGCAACAGAGTAAACCTGCACAGGTTGAAGTTCAGCTTGTCCAAAGGTTGCACAGGTTGAAGTTCAGCTTGTCCAAAGGTTGCACAGGTTGAAGTTCAGCTTGCCCAAAGATTGCACAGGGTCAAGTTCAGCTTGTCAAAAGGTTGCACAGGTTGAAGTTCAGCTTGCCCAAAGATTGCACAGGGTCAAGTTCAGCTTGTCAAAAGGTTGCACAGGTTGAAGTTCAGCTTGCCCAAAGATTGCACAGGGTCAAGATCAGCTTGTCCAAAGGTTGCAAAGGTTGAAGTTAAGCTTGTTCAAAGGTTGCATAGGTTGAAGTTCAGCTTGTTCAAAAAGTTGCACAGGTTGACGTTCAGCTTGTCCAAAGTTGCAAAGGTTGAAGTTCAGCTTGTTCAAATGTTGCACAGGTTGAAGTTCAGCTTGTTCAAAGGTTGCACAGGTTGAAGTTCAGCTTGCCCAAAGATTGCACAGGGTCAAATTCAGCTTGTCAAAAGGTTGCACAGGTTGAAGTTCAGCTTGCCCAAAGATTGCACAGGGTCAAGTTCAGCTTGTCAAAAGGTTGCACAGGTTGAAGTTCAGCTTGCCCAAAGATTGCACAGGGTCAAGATCAGCTTGTCCAAAGGTTGCAAAGGTTGAAGTTAAGCTTGTTCAAAGGTTGCATAGGTTGAAGTTCAGCTTGTTCAAAGGTTGCACAGGTTGACGTTCAGCTTGTCCAAAGTTGCAAAGGTTGAAGTTCAGCTTGTTCAAATGTTGCACAGGTTGAAGTTCAGCTTGTTCAAAGGTTGCACAGGTTGACGTTCAGCTTGTCCAAAGTTGCACAGGTTGAAGTTCAGCTTGCCCAAAGGTTGCACAGGTTGAAGTTCAGCTTGTTCAAAGGTTTCACAAGATATGGGAAACTAGAAACACTTATATTAGATCAAGGGTATAAAAGAGTAAATGTCATATAAGTGTATATCCGCATATAAGATTATACGCATGAAAACACACACGTGAAAACACAGCCCCAGAGATTTGTTCGGAGGTGTTAAAAAAGCAAAGAAAGTGAGTGATGAAAAGTAATGTGTGAAGGGCAAACTCTGTTTCAGGGCAAAAGGTCAAATAACGCCCTGAAGCATATTCTACGTTATCCGCACGCCACAAGGAAATTATACATGGAACAGCATCCATTGATCACTCAACCGTCACAGTAGTCGTAGTCGTAGTCGTTGTCGTAGTCGTAAATGGAGCTAATACGCTTGGTCAAGCACACTTTAAACTGTAACATTTACAAAAATTTGAAAACTAAATAGATAAGGTTTTGTATTTAAATAATGTTTCTAAGCCAACTATAGACAGCAATTATCAAATTTATATATGTAGTACTGCTTCTGGAAAGAATTGTTTCCATACGAGACGCCGTATTATTCGTTCTTATAGTGTACACGCATGATATAAACTCTCCCCCCTCTGTTTTAAGATGTGGAGTAGTGAGTGAGTGAGTAAATGTTGTTTACAGCCGTATCAGCAATTTTGCAGCTTTTCGCGGCTACGTTATGTGGAGTAGGATAGGTCTTCAGGACCCATGTTTGAGAGAGGCAACACACGAAATCCGCTTGACTTGGATGATGTAATCATACCCCCATTGAGTTGATGGATGCTCATGGTGTCCATCACTGGCTTGACTGGTCGAGACTATATACAGACCGCCGTCACACAGCTGAGAATTGTTGCGGCCGGCTTTAACCAACAAACAGTAAACGGAACTGTTCCTTGACTGTAAGATTATACGATAAGGGACCGTTCATAATTTATGGCTATGGGGGTGATGATGATTATTATTATTTTTTATTTTTATTTTTTTTTTTGGGGGTCACCCATTTTGTTCTGGGGAGGTAGGGGGGTCAGCAATTTTGTACACATGTTTCTTGGGGGGGACAGCAATTTTGTACATAAAAATATTTTAAAATTATGCTTAAAAATATTGGAAGGAGAGGGGTCATTGATTTTGTACATGACATGCATGGGGGTCACTTTGTACATAAATTTTTAGGGGGTCATTCACATTGTACATGCTTCTCCATAAAATCATCATCATCCCACACCCCCACCCCCACCCCACCCCCCCACCCCTGGCCATAAATTATGAACGGTCCCTAAGTCAGCACACAGAGGTCATATACGTATGCTTCGCTAATTGTAAAGGCTGCAAAATTAATAGCCCTGTGCTGATTTGCACCACACTATTTCCCTGTTCCCACATAAACTAACATTTTCTCTGGGAATACGATCTACACTGCCGCTATTACGGGTGACCTTGGTTACAGAGTGAGAATATTCTGCAGGAAGTTAGCACCGAGTGTACTTTGTTACGACGAGTGTGTGCAGCTGGTGCAGTGGATAAGACAAATATCAGGGTGAAACCCTTGAAACCTGCTCGGTATGATAAGTACATAATACGTAGACGAACAAGTCGTTATACTCGGGACAAGAGCCATTACCGAGCTCGGATACATCAAACATGCATACATAACTTGTGAGTGAAACCCGATAAAGCGTCTACTGC